ACACACACACACACACACACACACACACACACACACACACAGACAGCAGACAAATATAAACACATATAAGTTAATAAAATAAATTTTTTTAAAGTCAGATGATCATTCAAATGGTGTAAATGAATACCTGTGGATATAAATAAACTATCTAGCAGTATAGCAAAAGCAACGTGTGCAGCATTGGTTAAGTTATTGGATCTTCTTGCAACAGCAGGTTTAACGAAACTTGGTGTTCGAACAACAATTCATCCAGATAATGTAATATAACTCTGTTGATATAATTTATTTTATTACATTAAAATTACATTAAAAAATTACACTTAATATTAAATATGTGTATATATACATATATATATAGGTGGGCTATGAAGCTGGAAGTGAAGGTACAAGATTGCCGCCAATATATATGAAAAGCTTAGACAATGAATTAATTCAAGTTTTACATAAAGCTGTGCAAAGCAGTCAAGATGCGCATACAGTGCTTGAATTGATATTTTACGTGCTTGAGGATTAAAGAGATAGATTAAAGAATGGATGTATATGCTCTATATTTTTCGATCTGATGTTTTCAGATAACATTGAATAACTTTCATTCAACATGAAAGATGTGCAATTGCATTGAATATTATACAGCAGTTGTATGATTTGTATGTATTATCTTTTATTTTGTATAATTTTGTTTTATAATTCAAGATATTTTTAATTTATTAAGATTATAAATAGAATATTTTCAATTTTATCGGAAAATATTTAACGAGATGAGATGCATATGAAAATTTTTATTTTTATTTTTATGAATATGTATCAAAAATTAGAAAGAGAAAAACAGTAACAACGATACAAAGTCATAGAAACTTTTATTATCTATTGTCTTGAAACTTTATTTTATATTTACTACTTATAATTATATATATATACACACACAAATGATCAAATAAATATGTATATCAAGAATTCTGACAAGAATATCTTCTGTAGATGAGCTATTATTGATATATTAATACTGAATGTTATTTATGCATTTAATTGAAGTTTTATTAATTACAGAGATATAATTTTCTTGTTTAATTTAAGACAAGCTTCAAATTTATATCTAAGAAATACTACTAATTCTTTTACAGGAAAAAGATTTTTAATAAATAATTTATGTGTGAGCGTATGTGTGTATATGTGTGTATGGTGTATGGGGTACATGTTGCGCGTGTATAGATCTGTGTATGATGCATGCACATATGTGCGTAGTGATATATACATATTTTAGAAGACATAATAAATGTTTATTTGATCTATAGTAATCAATCAGACTGCTATATGAATAATATATAGAAAATTATTTATTGCCAAAGACTCATGCAGGTTATACTATAATCTTTACTAAAACTTCTGCATATTCACGCGACCATATCTTCGATCGATCATCAGACATCAGATGCAAGAAGATATAAAAAACTTTTACTAAATATAATAAGATGAAAATATTTTGTAATAAAATAATTTGCATTTGATAGGACACATTCAAAAAATTATTAAAATTTTTGTTTCAATAATCGAGAAATAACGTTAAATAACAAATTATGCCTAAACACAATTCAATTTCAGAATTTTATATCATTACATATCGATTATTGAAACAAAAAGGATTTTCAATTATATCTTACAAGTCTGTTTTATCGATTGCAAGTATTATTTTGTTAATAAATATTTTACTTTTACTTTTTGTTAATAAATATTTTATTTTTTACTTTGACATCTGTTGGAAGAATTTTCGTTATGCATTTTCCCGCTTCTGATATTGATTCAAATGGTTGCAGTGGATGGTCAGCAGAAGATTTGATGTAAATAAATACCTGTTCTTTCTCAATTTTTTTTATAAAATATGGAACATTCATTTTGTATGTAGAAATAATCTGCATTTTCATAAAAATTTATAAATGATAAATTCTTTATTCGACAACTGCTATCAATAACGAACTTAAATCGCAGAAAAATTGCTGCACGAACACATACAACGTAAATATATACTGGTGAACATTATCTTTTTTCATTGAAATATGTATTTCTATACTAACGATATTTTATATAGCAAGTTTTTTTGGGTATGAGAACGATTCTTGTAACACAATATTATGATGTAATTATGTAATATTGTATTTATTGTTATAATAAATCTGTTATATATTATATAGTTTGTATTGTAGCAAAACATCTTATTACTTGAATTTATTTTAACTACGATATCTCTGCGTTATAACATCTATATATAATAATGTTAATAAAATATTTTGTTATAATTATGCTTATTATTTTTATTGTATTGCTATTGTACCATAATTCAAGATCCTTGATTCCTCATGCATTTGATATGGTATAGAAATGCTGAATATATGCGATAAATAATCAATACGGTTATGACTATGTTGCCATTGTTGTCGGGGCAACCAAAACTATAATGTCCGACGTCCACCCGTTTATACTTGGTATACTTGATCGCGGGATTATAGGAGTGACTGAGTTTTTTCTCTTTTAGAAAGACAAGCGCGCAGTTTGCTGCGGAATTACTGCATCATGACTGAAAATGTGAAAATGATCGTTACGGAAGTAAATAAATTATTAGGACGAAATTACAATCTAATCGGATTCAATGCCTTAAATGCTGAAGATTTATTGCAGGTATCCTGCTGCTATTTTATCATCACATTTTCGAAAAAAAAAATTCCTTTTATTTTCTCGTAGATATTATGCAGCGTTATAATGAAAATACAGCAACAAGATGGTCCAGACATTGATACTAAATTGGACTCACCAGAAGAAAATTCTATATATATTTTAACAGCCCTCCGAATACTTAATTATCAACCTGATGTGGATCCCGTAACATTTAGGTACTTTCTAAACTAAATTTTGAGCAAATACACATTAACATTTTATCTATTTTATCGAATATTTTAAAGAACAACATGTTAAATAAATTATACCGAGCTTATCGCACGGTTTAAATGCTGTCCACCGTCCACTCTCGGCCCACAGAAAATGTTAGTTAGCTTGTTAGAAACGTAGTCCTTCCATTCTTAACGATGGTGCAATTGGCATATTTTAATCACCTTTTTATTTTCCTTTTATCTGTCAAATTTATTTTCAATTACCGCCTCGAATTCTTTGAATCGTTTGAAACGTCCATATCTCAGAGAAAAATTCAGCGTATTCTGAGGCATCATCTAATTAACTTTACGATTTTATATTTTCTATAATATTGCCAACATTTTACTTATTGTATTTGGTATGACTTACCTACTTAATTTTTGAATGTACACGATAAGTTTTTGTAATTATAGTTGTAAATTTCTCTGTATTTTTAGATCTTTTATATATTATTAAATTTTATAAATTGAACAATGTATATTATGAATTTGTTTTTAAAAAAATACAAAACATGTGATTTATCTCAAATATTATCTTTTATTCAGACAAGGTTTAGTTCGAGGTGACACCGAAATTATTTATCCCATTTTAACATGGCTTTTGACGCATATCGACATAGTTCAGAAAAGAGCATATCTCTCACAGTTTCTCGTCAAGGTAAAATATTAAAATTTAATAAATATGATGTGCGTTTACATATATTAAATCATATAATTAATAAAAAAAGAAATGTTAGTAAGTTATATGTATAATGTAAAATTCTGAAACAAAACATTATTCTTATTAGATTGAAATCCCACCGGAATATCTGGGAGATTCGGAAATATCACTTCTGTACGAGCAATATTTGTCTCTTGTCGATAAATTTAAGACAGTTCATAAAGAAAGAGAAATAGGAAAGAAAGTATGTATAATATGTAAAAAAAAATCTCATTTTTGTACATGAATAATAAAATTGTTTCTTTATTTATGCAGAATGTTGAAACTGCTGCTGAACTTGCAACAGACCTAGAAGCAATGACAAAGGAAAAAGAAGTATGTATATACATAAATGATACATACATTGTAAAATGACAACAATTTTTGAGATGTTTTACAAAGAAAATGTCAGAAAAATGTCTTTAAGACATCATAATATTCTTCTTCTCGGAGAAGACATTCACTTTTTTCATTATATTGTGCTTTCATTCTCTTCATATATTTCATAACATCTTCATATTTTACTTTGAACCTCATTGCAGACTCATTTTTTGGAAATTTACTGGATTTTTTATATAAAAATGAAATTAAAAATTACATATAAAATTTATATTTTTTACTAAAATTTCGATTGAAAATCATGTGGAATTTCATACCGATTTTCTATATGAATTCTTTAAAAGATTTCTACCTGATTTTCTTCAACACAAAACATTTTGCTATTTATGTATAAATAACAGTTTAGCTCACTGGTGATATTAAAGTCTGATATTTTTCGTCATATATAGGCAGTAACAGCGCGTATTGCTAAAATCAAATTAAAAGCTGAACCCGCGCTGCATTTACTAGATGCCTGCAAAATGTTACGAATGGAAAGAGATAAGGAACGTGATTTAATATCGCAGAAGGAGCAAGAGGAAGACACTATCTCCAATTTGCAGGTATATTTCCTACAAGATATTATAGAACTTAATAATTTTCACTCCTTGTGAAAATCATTAATTCATACTTAAATGTTTTTATTCGTTTTGCGATTTTATTTTATCATTAAATTTAGAATTCCCTTCAACGAGTCGAACGTGAATTATATACTTTGAAACGCGACAGTACCGGACTTACACCACAAATATTAATCCAACATCTAACAGAGGAAGTAACGGTACAATTTGCGATTGTGAAAGAGAAACTTCCGTCTGAATTAAAAACAAAAAAGAATCGGATAAGAGCACTATCAATAATCAAGGAATATTCTTATTTGGGCCCGGATAAAATTTTAACCATGAGAAACAATTTGGACGCAATATTAAAAGACATACAAGATTTAGTGGAATCTAAAGTGAGTATACTATCAAGAGTGAAATCATATCTGTTTGAATAAGAAATGCTCTATGTACCATGTGTAATACATATTGCATAAATTTCTTTTCTCTAAATATTATAAATGTTTTAGATATCTAAAAATGACATTGATAAAATGGGACCATTTAGACAACAAGCTGCCGCTGTTGGAAATATGAAACGGAATGCTCTCGAACGTTTAGAAAAAATTGAAGGTTCCTTAGAGGAATTACAATCACGATTAAAAGAGAAACACAATCATTCAAAAATGTTGATGGAGACGTTAATACCTAGGGCAGAGGAATTGAAAAAGTACATCAATCGTTTAAAGACCAGGGGTACGGTATATAAACGTTGCAAAACGGAGATAGCTGGCTTGAAAGCAGAAAATGGTGTACTTCAGCGAACAGCGACTATTCTAGATGGACAAGTATTAGAATATGCGATATCTAGATTTGCTTACATTAGATTGATAATAAATATATATATACTTGATATTATCATTTCAGATAACTTCTTCTTATTCAAGGAATGTTACATCTAAAGTAATAATTCCAGAAACTTATATGGTGGATAATGCATTAGTGACAAATGTTCAATTATCTCATTCGATATTGGCTTTACGAACCAATCTTGCCCCAGTTATAAGAGGTAATAATAAAATTTTGTTTTCAAAGTTTATATTTATGTTTATAAACAATTGATAAATTTTAAGATTTTTGCTTATAAATAAGGAAAAAAATGTGTATTAGTTATTGATATATAATAATTATGTGCAAATCTTTTTAGATATGAAGACACTACGACAAACAGCACGTGAAACGGATGAGAGATATCAGAAAGCATGTAAAAGTCACAACACTGTAGAAACAAGTATGAAAAATACAACGAGCGATCTATTATCCGAAACAAAACGGCTGAAAGATAAATTGTCGCAGGTAAAATTTTTACGGAATATCCCATTTTAATGATAACAGCTATATTCTTTTTAAAATATTAAAATTTTCATTTGATAATGATATTTTTTTATACAAGATACAGAGAATAAATTTAGGAGATACAAAGCTTTTGCTATTAAAATGAAATATTCTGCATTATTAAGAACATGCATTATTCGTGTTAAAATAATATGCATCGTATTATAGGATACTAAGGATGTGGAACAATTGCGACAAAAAATTGCAAAAATGAAGACTATCGAAGAAAGACTACACAATGAAGCAGAAGTAAGTGAAATATTAAATTTTAAATATAGTAATATTTATCGTTATATTTAATATATTTACAGCAATATTTCTTTTTTTAGACAAGAAATATTAGCAATATAGGACAAATATTAAAACAGGAATTACATAATATGATTGTAACGGAAGAAGAAACATTAAGAAATTTAAACAAGGAACAAGAGAAGATAAAAAAACATATCTTGCAATATGAAAATAAAACACACCAATGGAATAATATCATATCGTAAGTAATATTATACATAGTATTGTATACTATGTAAAATTAAAAGATTGTTAAATTTTTACAAAAAAATTTTTGAATTTTTGGTAACTTTTTATAACTTTATAAAAAATAGTACAATTTTATTAAAGTTATTTTAAAAGTTTCTTTTAATTATTTTTTAAAATATTTTTTGTTTTTTTTACTTGCAATAACGTAAAATTTGAAAAATATTTCTTAAAATATAAATTCATGTTTCAGAATATTTTCTTGTAAAATTCAATGTGCAGAAGAAAGTAAACAAACCGATGGCGTAGTTGTACGAAGAGGAGGTGCCGAAACTCTTGTGTTGCAATAATAGTAATTTATTTCATATGTGATATTTAATATTTAAAATTTTATTTTAAGACTATATTAATTTATAATTATATTATTATATTAATTTACAATTTTTAATTTTACTATATTATTCAAATATAAAAGAAAATGTATGCACTGTTATTAAAAACTACAAATAAATAATTTGTGTTTTATGTATATATTTTTACTCACATATTTCTCCATAATGATTTTTACGATAAATATTAAATATCACTCAAGAATTAATAGAATTGAATTTGAAATCTCAAGAACTGACATCACCTTTGGCTGACTGTTTAAACGACGATCTGTATCAAAGCTTGAATAAAATAAAAGAATAATTTATTCTTTGTATTAACTCCTCTTAAAGACACTTTTCTAATAACTTAGGATAACTTAAATAATTCAGGACATCTTTTAGATATCTTTTAAGACGTCCCTAGACATTTTTCAGTTATTTATGGTTAATATTTATCCTTGGGCTTCTTATCTTATTTATGTTCTAATTTTCGATAACAAGCTGCTGTCATAGGTCAAAGAACTGATTATTTCTTCCCATATAAATGCATGTAATTCTACAATAAGAAACAGTTATATGATAGTTTCTGATCGAAATGGATCGAACACTAACTAAAACTCGGACAATTTTTAATCAATTAATTATTCGTCATTACGGTAATAAAGTGGGGATAATTGGAGTACCCTTTGACAAAGGACAAGTAAGATAATAATCCTCATTATAAATTATTTAAGACTACAATTATTGACTACAATTTTTTATGTCAAATATAATGACATTCTAACCTTTTAGCTGTATATAAAAAAGACTTTTAGTTGTACATTAAAATATTATTTAAATTTTCATAAATGTCTACTGACGGTAGTAATTAATATTTAAATATTCCATATTGTAATGTATTAAATAACAGATTATGATATGTAACAGATAAGAATATTATAATTATATGTCATATATTAATATTAATTTATTAATTTATAAAAACAATAAAAAATTTTACAGGAAAAGAAAGGAGTGGCACAAGGACCTAAGGCAATTAGAGAAGCAAATCTGATAGATGAATTAAAAAAATTAGGTAAATTTATATATTTATATGCGATATGCACATATATGATACGTAATATTTATTTCTTTATAAATACATACATACATATTTATAAAACAATACGATATTAATAATTTATATTTATTAAAAAAAAAGAATTAGATGTACGAGATTACGGTGATATACACTATAAAATAAATAACAAAAATGATATAAAAAATATGATACATTTGAATCATGTGGCTAGTTGTACAAGTTCTTTATCTGAACAAATTCGACAAGTGTTACGCGATAATAGGCAAATATTAACAATTGGTGGTGATCATAGCGTGAGCATTGGCTCTATCGATGGACATGTTAAGGTATAAAAAAAAATATTTTCTCAGAAATAGAAAAACCAATAATTTATTAATTCTAAATGTTTCGTAGGAAAAACAAGATGTGGCAGTAATATGGGTAGATGCTCACGCAGATTTAAATACTAATAAAACCAGTGAAAGTGGTAATGTGCATGGAATGCCTGTAGCATTGTTAACTTCGGAATTAGCTGATTATTGGCCTTATTTACCAGGCATGGACTGGCAAATGCCAATGTAAATTTAAGTAGTTGATTTATTTTTTAAAGTATATTAATGAATTGTATTAATGAATTAAAAGTAAATACTAGAGATATTAGATATTAAATATCAAACATATCAGATAATGAAATTGAATAGAATAATCTATATCTATTACTATTAGATAATCATGTAATTGAATTTTATTCAGTAATTATACAAAAAGATTGAAAACGTGAATTTAACTAATTTTAAAGAAAAAATTAAAATAATACGTATATATTTTATTTAGTCAAATATCTGGCCAAACATCTCTATATAAGTAAAAAATATATTTAAACCAATACATAATTATTTATTGTTATAATTATTATAGGTTGTCCATCAGAAATGTAGCTTATATTGGTTTGAGATCTGTAGATCGCTATGAACGATTAGTAATTGAAAAATTTGGAATTACTGCTTATGGCATGGAAGATATAGAACGTTATGGTTTGGTTAATTAAAATAGTTATGCTTTGATATATATTATAATATCATATATGTATAAAACGTTTAATATATTTAATATTAATAAATAATTTTAGGTATTCATCATGTGATACATATGGCACTAAATAAGATAGATCCACATAACTCCAAATCTTTACATGTTAGTTTCGATATAGATTCATTAGATCCACTCGAAGCACCTAGTACTGGAACTCCTGGTTTGTAGTAAAATATATACAAAAGTAACAAAGTACAAAAAAGGTAATAATTTAATATTATAAAATCTTGCATATTTATAAATTACAGTACGCGGAGGATTGTCTCTTAGAGAAGGAATTCATCTTATGGAAGAAATACACAGAACAAGTAGACTGAATGCTATCGATTTAGTAGAAGTCAATCCAGATATAGGTAGTAAACAAGATGTGAAATTTACTGTACAAGCAGCTATACATATTATTCAAGCAGCTTTAGGTTATACAAGACGTGGTTTGAAAGTACCTGAAGGTGTTACTGATTTGCCTTTACAAACATTTCGTTAATGTCTATTCTATATTTTATCAGTTATCACAATATTTTTTATACATTTTATATTAATTTTAAAATATACATAATTATTTTCTTTGAGAATAAACAAATCAATTTTTTTAAATGCAAATTTAACATTTCAATTTATTTCATATTATTTTATTACAAATGTCTTTCCAGGTATATTATCAAATGTAATTTCAATTTTAGACACTTCAGGTTTGTTTTCATGATTCAATATTACCTCATAATATAATTTTCCCTTAGTTCTAGTACCTGTAAGTGGAATCTTGAACCATTTATAATTTTGTACAACTTTTGTAACTTCATGTTCAAGTGTTCGATTTCCATCACCATAAGTGATACGACCCATTGTTATAGGTTCTCCAAGATACGGTATAGCTTTTTTATGCGTACGTAAAGTATTTACAACATACTTATAAGTTTCAGTTTCTTTAATATCATATTGTATACGAAAATGAAAAGCGTAACCTGTACTTGCCGTTATAAATCCTCCTAAACTTGCTATTTTCAAAAGTGTTTGATTCGATACCATGTCTGCAATAAAGATAACTATAATTTTATTTGAAAAATATATTGCCTTTTATTCATAATTTTTATTTATTACAATGAGATATAACTACCTCATACCACGACATTTTCAAATGCTAGTTTCATTTTAATGAAAGCTAATTGTCATATTTAGACTTCACTCACCTTAGATTTTGAAAATATTTTAAAAATATAATTACCCTAACGCAATAAATCATACGAATATTTTGTAAATCATATGGAATATGCGATGATTATTTGTAATATATTCATATGACAACATTCATATGACATCCATGTAATGTATAGGTTGTTCTTTATAACTGAACTTTCTGCACTAGTACAGGAAGTGTACACTAAACTAATAGAAATGATGTCAGATATTACTGTTCTCTCTTGAGATATAGCAAAATTCATTGCAACGATTCAACAGATTTGTTCTATTTAGCTAAACTCTTTTTCATCTTTCGGTTCATCTTTCTTCTTTTTCTTTCCATATTGGAGAAAAAGAGAAAAGATAAACGCGCAAGAGATTTAGCTAAAAAAAAGTCATCTATTGTAGTCTTTGCGCTAGATCTTGATCAGTGCAGGTAAGCATTACATTCAAAAAAAAGTATTTGACAAATTGGAATTTTGCGCGCTTAATGAAATCTCGATTATAAATTATATTCGAATTACAAATGTGAATAGATCATGAGGCAATTTTTTATGATAGATCGCATGCGATAAAATATGTATGTACATACATACATATAGGTGCATCATATAATTATATAGCATTTGTAGTAATTTAATCACATATCCAAATTAACATGGAAAATCGTAAAAATAAATAAAATCAAAATAAATCCTTTTTATCTATAATAGAGGAATTAAAATATTATTAATAAATTTTTGCGCATGGTATTTATTTTTATATTAGATTATTCTTTTTACTTCCAAATTTATGCTGGTAAAATTCTGCACTAAATGTTAGTGCAAAAGCAAAAAATTATTAATGCAGACACAGAAAACATCACTTTTATCATATATTCTCAGGATATAGAAATTAAATTTCGCTATTTATATATTCCCTATAATATATCTATTTCTGTATATATCTCGCATGCCTATTGATCATATATTCTCGGAACATGTTTACAATATAGAGACTGAATCAGAATTATACAACATACATCCGCAGGATAATGATAATTGAGAATCTCGAGATCACAATATAATCACAGTATAAGCACTCCGCACGAAAAAATACGTGGTCACACAGATTTCCGATTTGCTGACTCGATTCAATTCCGTCTTTTTATTTCATTTTTTTCTCTGTCACTTTTTTTCTCGTCTCTTTTTCTCGTGTGTTTTGATTCAACTTGGCACATCGCAAATCGAAAACGCCATTAATCACACACAAATGGTGTTTTTATTCGGACTTAATGAAGCTTAATGCGACAGGAATCTACATGTGTCTACTCCTAAAAAATTTATAGAATAAATGAAAAATTGGATACGTGACGATATGCTTATAATAGGCTCGCAATTAAAAGCGTAATTAAATTCGTACTATGCATGTGCGAGGTATAAATATTTTAATTTTTTTTTTCTATTTGCCTTTTATTCTCATTAAAACATTTTTTATTATTATTAGTTACATAATGAAGTTTATAAATTATTTAATTTAACCTGTTGAGCAGCGTCCATAATAGGCCAATGTCACATCTGTAAATATTGAATAGAATGTTGAATATTCTAATGCGTTTATACAATAGTTATATTACCCTATAATTACATATAAGAGATCTTTTTATGACGTGAAGACCGTTAATGTATAAATATGCTCGTTAAATATATATTGCAAAATGCATATGTTTTTAACATGTTCTAGCATTAATGGAATAATATTAATAGAATTATTCCATTAACGTTAGAACATGGTGGAATAATAGAATAGATACAGTTATTATATGTAAGAAAATTTTGTTTTTGTGAAGTATCATTTTTCACCTTTTCCACATATTTTCGCGCAGCCTAATCCCCCGGGATTAGTGTAATCAATGTTGTCTGAACCACAAACAGGATTATATTCGGGTGTTACCTATGAGAAGAATATCGTTATATAAGCTGAATATCGGTGTACGGTACTTATTATCTTTTTTATGATTTTATGTTAAGATAGAATTATTAAAAAATCGATTGTAATCGAATTACACCGACTTTTGTATCATATAAGTAAAAATATTCTGAAGATTTGTCCTTGGATTAAAAACCGTGCTTTGCTTTGAATAAAACTGATCTTAATAAGAAAAAAAAAAAAGTATAATTACCTGGCACCTATTCACGCAAGCATTATAATCGTCAATAGATAGAGAAGTCGTAGATGCCGCAGTTGTTGTGGAGGTTGTAGAACTAACTCTTTGTTCATTGGGTGACCTTGTAGCTACTGGACCATCGAAGATAAAACCATCTACTTGAACCGTTTCTGTAGATACGCCTGTATTCTATATATAGATATGTAGATTAAATTTCCACAGTATTATATTTTTAATGCTTTCATTAAAAATTCAAAAATATTACTTCTTAAAAACAAAACACTCGACAGTTATGAAAACTATATATTATTGATTTCAGAATATCAAACTAAATATTAAAATATTGAAAATAAAATTTTAATATATGTATGATTTTTGCATTATTATAACTCTATTCGCAAAAATGAAGATATATTATGTAAAGAAGATCTTAACTATTTATAACTCAATCGATCTATAATTGACAATAATATATAGTCCATCGCCAAATGTGTATATTTTGCATAAGATATGACAATGCTCTCTAATTATTTAAGTATCAAATCTCGTTTAAGTATTTCTTCTTTTTTCTGTATAAAAGATCGCACAAAAAAATGAATACTTACTTGTGGAAATGCGGTGATAAGAAACGGCGATGCCACAACTATAAAAATTATAAAACACTATTTAAAGCTGTATTAAGCCAATTAAGTATGAAAATAATATCTCAATATTATACACAAAATGATTGAAATTGGTTGATTTTTCTTACTTAGTAACAGGCAAAGTAACATTTTTTTCTATAGTTTAATAAATAAGAAACCGTTGGTCGATATTGTACAGTATATATATCCAAGATGATCTACCAAAGTACGATCATCTACTGTTTGATAGCATGAGTTGAACTTCCTTTTATAGAACCGGTCGCTCACTGTTGGTTCAGTCCACAATACATATAAGCAAGAAATTTCTCAGAGCAAAGTAATATAGTTTCTTCATTGCGTGCTAATTTTCAAAACTTTTTGCGAAAATAAAAATCAAAAAATATGAACAAATGAGCAAATAAATATATTTAGAATAAAAAGAATATTTAAAACATTTTAGGTAAAGTTCCTCTTATCTAATTTTAGATTAAAAAATAATTTTGCTATATTTTATGCGATATTGCTTTTCAAATTTATTTTTCTTTTTTTTTCTAAAAAATTACGCAAATCGGAATTTATTGTCCTAGCAATCGCATAGAATATTTGACTAAACTTACTCTTTTTACCTAATTTAATAAAAAAAATTGTCACTTTTTATTTCTAACTTTGCACCTAACACAATTATGTTTTGAAAAGAAATACATTTTGCTAAAGACGTTAATGATAAAAGTTGCAATATTTCTAAAAGTAAATTTATCAATTCAGATTTTGCAATTCAAATAAAATTTTACTTATATTTATCTTTATAAACATAATTTATATAATATTCTTTTTGCGATATTCTAATATGTTAGTATCTTAATATATATTGTATTGCTTTATATTGTAAAGAATCGATAAAGATTTACCAAAATGTGTCAATATATTAGTCGTTAAATTGTTAAAAGAAATCTCTTTTAAATATTTTTTTTTTTTTAAAGAAATCTGTTCCATGATTTATTCAAATTGTTGCGTTCCAATGAGCAAGCGTTCATTTCTCAGACTTGTTTTTATAAATCGCACAGGAATATTAATCCTACCAGCCTCCAAATTATCACCTCAATCGCATTGCTCGACAGATATAATATGATTTATCTCGCAGCATTTTAAAATTAAATGTTATTTAAAGTTACAGCAGAGGTATCTTGATATAAAGAATAAAGATATATAGATAGCTATAATGAATTGACATCCGAATGTAATAATTATATACACATTATGAGTATTTTAATTTTTTCTTTTTTAGTATTGAAACATAACTTAACGTATATGACTTAAAATAATTTAATTATGCCGTAAAATATATATATACAATAAGCAGTTTTTATATAAAATAATGATAGTAACAAACTGAAAATGCATATGTTTAAATATAATGTAATACATCGAATAAGGACATAAGGTATGGAATTTGCGGCATGTCAATGATCAATAATTAATTGCATCTCAGGAATTCCCACTAATAAACACGTGCAAGCGTCTGCAACAGTTAAAACAACAGTGTCATTTTTAATATTGTATGAACAAAATAAATACAAAAAAACACATAAAAAGGTAAAATAAAATAATATTATATACTTTTAGCCAGTATTAAAAGATTCTTATTTATACATACCTATATGTCGTTCTGTCACATTTGTCAATCTAAGCAATGGCAAATCAAATGCTATTTAATTACTACTCTGTTGAATGTACGGTTCGCAAGCTCTGATTATCCTTATCGTAAGTCCTTAAAAAAATATTTAATGTTATTGGATACGAAACTAATCGAAAGAGAAAGCAAAAATTAGCAAATTCTTTAATAATCGAAAAGAAGTAATGAAGAAAGTATTCATGAGAGTAATATACAAATTTAAGACTAACACAATACATTTCTGTTAAATTATTTTGTTCGTTATCAATTATTATTGTTAATAACAAATAAAGAACGGTAAAAGGGTAATATAAGATTACTCACGTGGATTGCAACTTTTCGCACAATTAAATCTTCCCATGTTCCAATATGTGACGTTGTCGCTGCCACATACCGGGTTGTATTCTGCGGTTGCGACACATGGACAATTAGTTGTCCCTTGCGTGGTGCTCGGTGTGGTGCTCGTTGTGATGCTCGTCTCATCGTTCATAAATATTATAGAATCAGTGTCAATCCCGTTCGACGGGTCTCTTTGCGGGAATGCCAAGGCGACCAACCAAATCAAAGTCAATACTTGCACAACTATAGGAGTAAAGCGATGTGTCACAATACGCACGTTTTAATGCAAATTTGCCAAGGAGAGACTCGAAAATCTCGAAATTACTGAGCAGTACTGAGTAATACTGCCAATGAGTAACATTTTGGAGAAGTATTGAATAGTTTATTTTACTTTTCAAATATTTCAAGACTTGACGAAACTTTGAAAAATATACTTTGCAAACTCGAATGCATCGAAATTATTTTAAAAATCTATTATTTCAATAATTTACAGGAAAATGCACAAATCTAAGGAAATAAGATACTTAATTATAAAATTTTAAAAAATCGAGAACTATCGTTATATTGTTTTATATGTTCGGTTTAATATCAGAAAAAAATCGAACAAATTTATGAAACAATCATCATGTCCCAAACTTTATTTTATCAAACGGAAAATTCCGGAAATTGAAAATGTTGATTAATTTATCAGGAATAATCATAAATTTTGATATTTTATACTTTTCTTTATAAAAAAGCATGGCCTTTTCTGTTATACTGTACTCACCTGCATAAACGTATTTCATGTTTGTATCCGTGCAACTTCAAATTCAAAAATGGTAGAAAAGAATAAGACACAACGTTTTCAACGTTTTAAATACACTAAACAATAACCAAATGACGATCTTTAGTGTGTGCTTTTCGATTTATATGATCGTTTCTCTCTTATCTGTTTATACTATATAGCTTGACGTATTTCCTTATATAGGAAAAAAACCGGTAAGAGACAAACGCTGTAAGCGGCGGGGATATCCACATTGCGTACTCGTTGCATTAACGTGGATTTCACGCATCTAATGACAGCCATTTACGGGCTGCCCCGTTTTTATCGTTGCGTACAAGTTATTATGAAAAAACAGATCGGAATTTTATTTTATTCTTGAACCTTCAGTTGATACATTTAATTTGCATAATGAAATTATATGAGGCCATAGTGATTTATCTTATTATATATTCTTTTTTATTACAGAATCTGAGTTTTAAATAATCCAGTTTTTAATTGGTATCAAGCAATAAATCGATTTTGCTTGTATTTCTATTTATTTCATAAAAGACAATGTAATGTCTTATTGGTAAAAACAAAAATGACAAATGTGTGAAAATCGTGATTATGTAACAATAATTTTT